GAGAGACAAATGTAAAGTGGCTAAAGCCCTTTGCAGATGGAGCAGGGCCACAGCTCCAGCCCCTGTATAGATTCTCAGGATGGTTTGGGTGGGAACGGACCATAAAACTCATCCCATCCCACCCCCTGTCATGGGCAGGGACACCTTCCACTATCCCAAGGTGCTCCAAGCCCTGTCCATCCTGGCCTTGGACACTTCCAGGGTTGGGGCAACCACAGCTCTTCTGGACACCCCGTGCCAGGGGAGAATTTCTTCCCAAAATTATATCCAACTCTTCCCTCTGCCAGGTTAAAGCCATTCCCCCTTTCCCTGCCACTCCAGGCCCTTTTCCAAAGCTCAATTCTGGCATAAACTCAAACTTCCAAGCATTTTGGGCAAGGCAGGGCGACTCCAGCATTAAGAACTGAAGCCCTGGCTTTAAAAAGGGTAAATCCAAGGAATTCATATCAAAGCAGGAACAGTCATAAGGAGAACATATGGAAGTGTCTTTTTCTGCTCACAGTGATTGGAAACTGCATGCCCAGGCCCTGATCCAGATACAGGACCCCACATCCGGGGCTTAGTTTCCAGGTGACCTGGGATTTCAGCGATTTCCAGCCTTGGGATTGTTAATGTGAGATGACAGCAATAACCAGGGAAGGAAAACCCCACGTGTTTGTTCTTCCCAGCATGCCAGCACTTGTGGATTTAAGTGAGGAGAAAGATCACAAGGCTCAGACAGAATATCCTCCAGAACACAGCCCTAAAGCAGCAATTTCCTCTGTGGAGCCCGTGTGAGATCAAGGCAGGATAAAGCACTCCATGTGAGCCTGGCTGAGGGGATTTGGGAAGGGGCAGGAGCCATTTGTTGGGGATGGAATAGTAAAGATTAAATTGGGTGTTACAGAGGGACCTTTCCAGAGGGAACAGCTCCAGCTCCGAGTGCCATTTGCCTTCACCTCTCTTCCATGAGAAGACTCCTGGCTTTGGGAATGCAGCATTCCTAAGCTAAACCTGCTGATAGGAACATGTGCATTTCATCTCAGAATGAATAAAAAAATGATTGAAAAATAGCAAACCCTGTAATTTTGGTGAGGAATAATTCCCAGGCGATTGGAGGCAACGCGCTCGCGGATGGAAGGGCCGATTCCTCTGGATCAATGGGATGGAAACATCTGCTTTATCTCACCGAGATCTGAAGAGGTAAGAGCTGACAGTTCTTTGTGGGAATCTTTGCTATCTCATTGTATATCTAAATTACATTAATTGATGTCCAACGTTGATGTTTTGGGTAATTCTCGTGGATCTCACAACCTTCTGTTTCAAATTCACAGTCTTCCACCACTCAAACTATTATTATTTTTACCAGTCCCAAGGGTGTGCTGGAGTCTCTTTGGTACAAATTAGAAAGGCTTTTATGGAAAGCTCACAGTTTATGGAACAGAGGTTCCCGTTGGCTTCCTGACCCCGAGGTAGTGACAGCTCCCACCGGAGCCTCGCCCACAGCAGGGGCTTTAGCACCGTTCCCAACACGGTTTGGGAGCTGACATGGGGTGAGGAACAGCAGTAATTTCCCCCAAGAGGGACAAAAAAGCCGAATGTTGACAAGTTTATGAGTACAAACATGTCAGGGGATCTCCTGGCAGCGAGGCTGTGCTCCAAGCCTGTGCCAGGCTCACCTGGGGCTGGTTGTTCACCTGGGCTGAGCTCTGAGCCCAGAGAAGGGATTTCAGGGAGACAGAATCCATTCTGCAAGGAACAAGAGTGGGGTACAAATGACCCAAAGATCCCAACCCAAATAATTCCATTAAAAAAACTCAAACTGAACAAGTTTTGGAGACAAGATCAAGCAACACAGCTGAGGGAGAGAAGAGGGTGGTAGGAAGATGCTGAGACTAGAGGAAGAAGAGTCACAGAACCCCAGGATTTCCTGAGCTGGAAAGGACCCACAGGATCATCCAGTCCAAGCCCTGGCCCTGCACAGACACCCCAACAATCCTGGGAGGTTGTCCAAACTCAGCTCTGCCAGCCTTGAGGCTGTTCCCATTCCCAGGGGGGCCCTTCCACTCTCTGGGGGAAGAACCTTTCCCTAAATCCAACCTGAACCTGCCCTGACACAGCTCCAGCCATTCTTTGGGTCCTGTCCCTGGTCACAGAGAGCAGAGATCAGAGCATAATGTCAGCCCTTGGAAAGATGACACTGAGTGTGAAGGGTAAGCAAGAAACCAGAGGGAGGTGGAGGCAGCAAACCCAACCCTCCCCAGCTCTCGCCCATCAATTCACTGCAATTAAAGTTGAATTAATAAAGACACAGATTTTTCAGTGGGGAAAACACAACAGTGAAACCTTGATGTTCCTCAGGTACCAAAACAGATCCAAGGCCACGATCCAAAGGAGAAACCAGGAAAAGCAGAACAAGGGAGAAAGAAATCACCCATCAAAACCCATCTGGCTCACAGCATCCATGGAAATCCACACAAACCCACCTTCCACAGCCCCTCCAGGCTCTGCCAGGGCAAAGGGGGCTGGAATGAAAAATTAATTGTAAGCTGTTACTTAACACAGATTTTGAGACAAAAAGAAGAGAACAAAGGAGTCCTTCAGGCAAAAAATGTGGAAAATGACAATCATTAATAACATCAACTCCTCACTCCAGGACTTTCATCAGTTGGCTGAGGTGGCATCACATTGTCAAGTCACAAAAGCCATAAACACACCCAAAAAACCTGATGGATGCCAGAAAATTAAATGCAGAACTCGCCAACATCAGGAGCTCCAGCTGGAATGTATCCAGAATGCCCAGACTTGGAAAGGCCTAAAATCATCCTGGAGTTTCCTGGTAGGTGGAAAACATCCTGAAACTGCATTCCTGAGCAGAGGAACACTCTCTTCAGAATTCTTAATCTACCATGGTCAAGTGTTGGTGTCAAAAACAAGGATCACAAGCACATTTTTAGAACCCTGTTTCTGGATTTCCATGAATCCCAAGTTCTCCTCTGCTCAGGGAGGATGGAGAAGCTGCAGGAGGTCTGAAATTGTTCAGAAATACACATTTCAAAATGGTCCTTTTCCTTTTTTGATAACCCAGAAAGCAGGAGCTGGTGTGCCATCTATTAAACTATAAATAAAGACATAAAAGAGAATTCCTAACCCACATCCAGAAGGGCTGAGGTTCAAAACCCAGACCCCACCCAGGACTTCAGCATCTGGAGTGTCCCATCTCACACCTCAAAACATTCCCAGGCCTGGACTTTGATTTGGGTCTGCAGCTCTTTGTGTTGTTTTCTCGGGGGTGCAGCATTTCCCAGGCTCTTTCCAGCAGAATTCTTTCCATGCTGCCCATCACAATTTTTATGGAGTCACGAGGCAAATTTACAGCTGAGAAACTTCTCCCTGGCCCCACAATGCCTCCCAGCTTTGATGTGCACAGCCCTATAGCCATGAAAATTCACATCCATTTAACTCCAATCCCTGCTAATCAAATCCTTGGGAATCAGCACGTTCCTGGGTGGATTTGCAGCTGCTGCAGCAGTTTGGGCACCACGTGGCCACCAAAACCCTTCCCTGGGAGCTCAGGAGTGGCAACACTGCTCCCCAAGCACCCAGGAGAATGACAGACAACAGCAGGATTGGCAGGACACGTCTTGCAAGCAGCATTCCCAAAGGAAAAGCTCCCAAACCCCCTCCTGAAAAGGCTGGTGCTGCACCCCAACCCTGTTCACCAGCCCAGGACCCTTTTATGTAGTCCCTAGAGCCCAGCTGGGGCCCAGAGCTCTCAAATTGGGGCAGTTTAGGGCACACCCAGGAGGAATCACTCTGGAATTGGGAATCACCTGGGCTGCTGTGATTGCCTGCAGCAGGACAACCTGAGGCTTCCTGGGGACAGCCTCCAGTGGGTTCTTTCCTGCCTGGGGGGACAAACATCTTCCATCCTCTCTAAGCACACCTCCCCACCCTCACAGCCAGGAATTCCTTCCCAATATCCCATCTAACCCTGCCTCTGGCAGTGGAAGCCATTCCCTGTGTCCTGTCCCTCCATCCCTTGTCCCAGTCCCTCTCCAGCTCTCCTGGAGCCCCTTTAGGCCCTGGAAGGGGCTCTGGGGCTGCCCTGGAGCTTCTCCTCTCCAAGTGAGCACCCCCAGCTCTCCCAGCCTGGGATTCCAGCCCTTGGAGCAGCTCCATGGCCTCCTCCAGACTCGCTCCAGCAGCTCCAGATCCTTCTGATTTTGGGGTTCCAGAGTTTGAGGAGCTCTGCAGGTGTGGTCTCACCTGAGCAGGGCAGAGACAGAACCCTGCTGCACGCAGGGGGAGTGCAGGCCTCACATTATCACCCCCAGCCCCTCTCACTGTGACCCACCAGCCCCCTAAATTCCCTCTCCTGCACCCCCACCTCCCTGCCTTGCCTCTCCAGCACAGCTGGTGCCTCCCCCATTTGTCTCCTGCACCAATTTGGTTTTTTTAAAACATCCCCATCCAATTTCTTCCCCTTTTCCTGGTTTTCTTTCCCAGCAGAGGGTTTCCAGCTTGGGATGGGGATGGCCACAGTGTAACTCCAGAGCTTTATGCCGTGGCCTTTCCCAGCCTGGCACGCAGCGCTCAATTTGGAGCGCGGTGTCCTCGCTCTGTTCCATGCCGAGCTCTGTTGTCCAGAGGAATTAATTCCAGATTATGTGTGGGTGTGGACTTCAGCTGGGCAAAATTTGGATACCCTGGTTGAGTCATTATTGTCTGATGAATCTCTTGGTGACAGCCTTCGCCCCTATTGTTCTGAGGTGAGCCCCGTGGCAAGAAATGTGAAAGCAAGAAACAAAAGAATATAAAGAAAGGTTACGAAATCAAATTCAGTTAAGGCAGGGTTATTGTCCCTCCATCCCGCCTCTCTGGCCTCCAGTTGGGATTGGATTTGGCAGGAAAACAACCCCCGTGGGACAGTGGCTGGGGTTTAGAGCAGGTTCTGGGGGGAGCCCGTCCCGGTGGGACCCTGGTGGCCCCAGTGACACAGCAGAGACAGGGAGGAGGAGTTATCATCAATTCTTAACATTTTATTTCTTTACTGGGTTAAACAAGGAGCAGAGAAAACCTCGGCCCCAAAATACAACAGAACTGAAAGCATTACAGGTACAGAGACTATTGAACACAGAGAGTAGTAGGATAATATTTTAATACAACTGAATTATAGCATGGGATTGTGTTTTTGTTGGGTTTTTTTTGTTTGTTTTTTGTCAAACCAGTTTGGAAAATAAATGTAATAGGAACTAGTGCAAAAAAGTTCTAAACATGAAGCACAGTGTATAAAATGGCATAAGAAAACTGTCCCCTCGAGGACACAGTCACTTTCTTATGACAGAAGGGAGAAAGAGAAACAGAAGGGGGGTGGGAACAGAGGGAGGGTCCAGGAGGCGGAGGAGGAAAAGCTGGAAAGAAAGAGAAACCGGGCCGGGGGATCGGAGAGGATACTTTGACTTCAGCAATGTTGGTTTGTGTTTCACCACCACACACTGTTACAGGACCTCGTTGGGGTCGGGCCGAGCTCTGTCACCACCCACATGGCACAAGCACTTGAGAAGGGTTCGGGCACCGGCAGCCTGGGCACTGCAGGGCTCACGGTCCCCCCGAGGTCCCCACAGGTGCCCCCAAGCCCTGGGACACCCAGCAAGGCAGGGAGCCCCAGCTCGGACACGCTCCAGAGGGAGAAGGGCACGAGGGGCTGGGGTCTCCTCCTGCTCTCCCTTCCCACATCCCTCCCGAGCACGGCGTTGGCTCCCTCAAGGACCAGCACATGGAATTTGCTCCCAATTTTCTCCCCCTTTTGAAGGCATCCTGAGGCTGTGTCAGAACATGAGGCTCAGAGGAGCTGGATTCAGTTTGGGTTGGAACAGAAAACCAAACCAAACCTCCATCAGAGGGATGGCCGGGGATCCCCAGGAATTCCTCCCAGGCATCAGCAGCCCCGATTCCCACAGGGAAGGTGTCCCTGCATTCCCAAGGTGTTATCCCGGCCTGCTCAGCCAGGATTTGCTCCAGCCTGTTCCCACCACGGAGCCACCCAGCCTCCTGCCCTGGAGAAACTGGCTGGATGCTATTTTAAGGAGAGCTGGTTGGAATTCCTTACAAATTGCTATTCTCTCCCAATCTGCTGCTGCCCCTTCTGATTCTGTGAGCAGAAAAAGTGTGATTAATTTTTAATTTTTTTTTTTGCCTCGTTTGGAAAATGAAAGGTTTTGTGGGAAAGGACTGTTCTGGATGCATTTCTCAATTTGGAAAAAAAAAAAAATTGGTCATAATGATCAATCTGGCTTGCTTTGAGAAGTTTCAAAATTTAAAAAAATCACTGTCTGGCTCTTTTTGTCTTTTTGTTGTGCAACTTAGGCATGTCCAGTTCCCAAATACATTTAAAAATGGTAAAACCAACCCCAAATGTAATAAGCCAAAGCTAATTCTTGGGGTTTTTTTGTTGAGTTTCAGTTTATAACAAGCGGAGTTGTCAACCTTCTGGGCTGAAAAAGGATCATCCTGAAGTGCTAAAAAGGCTGGAAACCACTCCTGGCCTGCCTGGAACACAGGGCCTGGAGATGTGGAGCAGGAAAGTGTGGAGGGACTGGGCTCAGGAACTCACCCATCTCCTGCCCAGGCCTTTGAGAGGGGCTGAGAGCTTTGATAAAACCCCAACAACTTTTAAAATTTATTGTTCCTTATTTTTTCATGATCCTCAATTAAAAATGGTCCATCCCCCACCACAAACTTCCCTCTGCTCCCTTCCTCCTTCCTCACAGAGACATGCAGGGCTGGGAGGTCACCCAGAAAGCCACCTGGACCACGAACACACCAAAAAAGAGCTGCTAAAATGCTTCCATTCCTGGAATAAAATGGACTGATGGTGGGAGCAGCCCCAGGGCTGCTGTGATGCAGGAGCTCTGAGCAGGTTCCTTCTGTGGGACAGGGGATGATTTTGGGCTTGTGTAATGATGGTACCTCCAGCTGGGATGCCCATGAGCTAACTTTTGGACTGAAGGAGATCCTTAACACCCAACCTGAACATGGCCCTTCCCAACTTTTCCAGCCTAGTTTAAGAGAGATTTAACCCCCAGGGATGGCAGCACAAAAAGCTCATTGACAGAATTCCCTGCCTGTCTTGGGTTACAATGTAAGATGTAACCAAAGGATAGGTGGGGCAGTGTTCTTTATCTCCTCCATGACTCAGCCCTGATAACTCCCTCCAGGAGCCATCTCCACTAATGGGCCATCAGGGTCCATTACATCATCCCATTGTGAGATGCTCCACCCAGGGGGAGGAGCCAAACATTCCTACCTGGATATAATCTGAAGCTGGAACACCCCAGGAGCACTGCCACTGGACTCCCAGAGGAAAAGAGCTCCATGACCACCGCTGGACCTCCAGGGAAGGACCAGATCTTTCTACAGGATCACTGTTTCGACAGAACCACATCCATCACTGCATTTCATCGGGCTGCTACCACCACCCTGACCGGCAGGCTGCCAGGTCTACTCTGGCTCTATCAGTCTAAGCCAGTGTTTCTGTACTACTGCCTTTCATTTTCCTATTAAATTGTAGTTCTGACTTCTGCTTTGCTTTCAAGCTAGAACATTTCTGGTGCCCACAGTGGGCGCTCCTGGAAGATGGTGGTGGTGAAGCGCAGCGCTCTCTCCTTGCTGGAGGTTTACACCGAGGACTCGGAGCCGGAGTGGGACGGCGAGGCCGGCACGGCAGGGAGCGATGGGGCAGCGCCCACGGGGGAGAAAGGAGGCCTGGTGTCAGCTGGGTATGGAGAAGGTGACTTCACCCGCCTGGATGGGGATGAGGAAGGGTACGAAGAGGAGGAGGAGGATGGGAACAGCAGGCGGTCAGAAGATGACAATTCACAGACTGAAAAACCTGAGGCTGGTGACCTAAAGAAATTCCGAGAAGTGGAGGAAAGAGATCCTCAGGAGCTGGTTCTTTCTTTTTCAGAGACAGTGTGGAACATGTCTCCAGATGAGATCAAAATCCCACCTGAGCCTCTTGGCAGCTGTTCTAACCAATTGCAGGATAAAATTAAAAAGCTGTATGAGTGGAAAATGAAAGAGGGCATAGATATGAACTACATCATCCAGAACAAAAAGGAATTTTGCAATCCCAGCATCTATGAAAAGCTGATCCAGTTTTGTTCCATTGATGAAATTGGTACAAATTACCCAAAGGACATGTTTGATCCTCACAGCTGGTCAGAGGATTCGTATTATGAAGCACTAGCGAAAGCCCAGAAGACCGAGATGGACAAATTGAAGAAGGCCAAGGAAGAACGTACAAAGATTGAATTTGTGACTGGCATTAAAAAAGGTACAAGAAGAAGTGCTGCTTCCACAACCACAACATCCAGCACCACTGTGGGGGATGCCCAGAAGAAGAGGAGGAGGTGCAAGTGACACGTATTGAGGAAGGGTCTCAAAGAATGACTCATAAAATTACATCATCTCATTGTGAGCTCCCCAGCCCTGAGGGGAAGAACCAAACATTCCTACCTGGATATAATCTGAAGCCTGGAACACCCCAGGAGCACTGCCACTGGACTCCCAGAGGAAAAGAGCTCCATGACCACCACTGGACCTCCAGGGAAGGACCAGATCTTTCTACAGGATCACCGCTTTGACAGAACCACATCCATCACTCCAACAGCCCCCATTTAATCGGACTGCTGCCACCACCCTGACCAACAGGCTGTCAGGTCTACTCTGGCTCTATCAGTCTAAGCCAGTGTTTCTGTACTACTGCCTTTCATTTTCCTATTAAATTGTAGTTCTGACTTGGAATCTCCTGCTGGTTTGCTTTCAAACTAGTACACTGCCCCATCACTTTCTGGCAGAACCCAGGAATGTTTCTGTCCTGACATTGTCTCCACCAAGCCCTACAGGCATTCCCTTCCCAGACAGCAGCAGGAATGGGATTAGGATGAATCACAAACAGGGTAATCTGGGCTATGGGACCTTACTTCCTTTGGCTCTGTGGAAATCATAGAATCCCAGAGTGGTTTGGGTTGGAAGGGTCCTGCAAGATCAGGCAGCACCACTCCTTGCCATGGAAGGACACTCCACTATCCCAGCTTGCTCAAGCCCCATCCAACCTGGCCTTGCACACTCCTAGGGATGGGGCAGCCACAGCGTTCCCAGGCATCTTAACAACCCATCCCAAACCACGCTTGGTGCCACCAGAGACCAGAAGGCATCTGCAGAGCTCAGCACACGGACACTCCATGACCCTGCCTCTCCGGATCCTGCCCAGGAGCAGCAGATATCTGGGATTTTCCCTTTATTCTCTTCCTCCAGGCGGCAGCTGATCATCTCTCGGCCCCGCCCGCAGCCCTGAATGGCAGTGAATGAACTGCCCTGACATCTCCTCTTGAAGCAAAGCAAAATGTGTTGAAGAAAAACCAGTTCCAGATGTTTTCCCAGTGTTGCCAAGTTACTCAACATGTTCTGCTTTAGTTGTCAGATGCTTTCAAAGCGATTTCCCTAACTCCGAGCACGAATGGTGAGGGCTCTCCCTGGGAATCTTCTGCCTGGGGCTACCATGGATCTGTATTTTCATAAGAAAAAGACTCAGCTAATGATTAATGTTCCCCAGAGGAAGCGGGGCCTTTCTTTGGGATTTTTCTTCAGTTATTTTTAATTAATTTGTACAACTGGCAGCTACATGAAAGTGCAAAACCCGGGAATAACGCTGGACCCGACTCCTTTTGCTCCTCTCTGCCCACACCTGGAGTTTGTGGAGACATCATCATCCCTCACTTCTCTAGGGATAAGAAATCCCCTCACCAGGGAAGAATCACTGCTTCCCACTGGGAATTTTCTCTGAGCAAAGAGAAGTTTGTCCCCTGAAGGAAAAGCTGAGTTTTACATATTAATCCCAACATGGGGCATCTTCTTTAGGGAGAAGAGATAAGATCATTGGATGAAAAGGACAAAGCCCCTTGGGTTTAAGTTCCTGGTAGGATAAATCATTTAGAGCTCATGTTTTCCAAGGTGGCTTTGGGAATGTGGGAAGCATTTGGGATTGCAAAGGGCCCCTACTCTGGTGGACACAGGGCTTGGGGTGAAGCATCCCTGGATACACAGGGTGAGGAAGCCCTTCCCCTCCTTATCTAGGCACATTCCTTCTTTATCCAAGCACACTCACTCCTTTTCCAGGCACATTCCCTTCACTTTGTAAGAAAAATAATGCCAGTGGTGTCAAGTGAGACAATGTCACCGTCAGCTTCCCGGGCTGTTCTCTCGGAGTGCAAAGCCAGAGTACTCAGGGATGGAGGATAAGTAGGTTGTAATGTCCAAAAGGCAGGAATTGCCTTGTAATGACCAAAGGCAGGAATTTTATCCGATGGGCTCCTGATGTTGGACTGTTCCATACACCACTTTCAGCTGCTCCTGCTCTGGGAACAGCCTTGTCTGGATCTGTTTAAGGAGATTGGCAAAGTGTTGAATGCAGCATATGGTGCCCTAAAACCACAGAACTTACTGACAGCAGCCTAGACTCGCTAAAAATCTTCCAAAGCCTTGCTCTGGGAAGACGCAGCACTTTCCTCCCCCTTGTAGCAGGTAAAGTCCATACCATGCTCCCAGATTGGATCTGCATCCCGTGTGCTCTCTCTGGCATCTCGTCCTCTTGGGAACGCCCCTCAGGGGCCATGGCCTGGAAAACACATGGATCTCCTGTCCTGGGGCCCTCTTCACTCCCAGTGGATGAGGCTCAAACCTCCTCAGTAGCCACCCAAACCAGCCCGGTTCTGAACTGGCTCCACTTCCCAATTCACTGGGACTCAACACATGCTCCTGAACTCCCGAGCCTCCAGCTGGTGTTAGGGAAGGCGAAACTGTTTCTCACAGCTCCCAGGTTATCCCAGGAAATTCCTGCCAGCACATCATGAAGATGACTTGGGTTGTTGGATCTCACTCCTGCAGCCCTGTGGAAATCATGGAATGATTTAGGTTGAAGGGATCTTAAAGCCCATTCTGTTCCACCCTCTGCCATGGGCAGGGACACTTCCTACTGGACCAGGTTGCTCCAAGCCCTGTACAACCTGGCCTTGGACACTTCCGCAGCTTCTCTGGGAATCCCACATCATCCATCACCACCCCCAAGCCTGGCTGATGCTCCATCAGCAGTAGAACACAGGGGCTTCAGGGCAGGGAGAAGGATGCACATCCCTCAGGGTGGTGCCCGATCCGGATGCGGTGCAGGGACTGGGGCCGGGCCACCCTGCGCCTGCCAGCGCTGCTCAGTGTCACACATGACACAAAGAGCAGGGCCAGTGACTCAGGGCCACTTGCTGACGCACCACACTGGGCTATTCTTCTCTCTCCCGATGAGTCGCTCCAAGATTGGACACAGTCTATCTCCGAGAGAGGCGCCTGGAATTAGCTTAACTCTTGGCAGTACAGGAGAAATCTAATTTCCTTCGGGATCTGATCTGGCTGTCTGGAGGCAGGGACGGGGCTGTGCTCCCTCCCCTGGCCTGCCTGGGAGCTTTTGCTCCTTGTCAGAGCAGCTCCACAACTCACTGCTCACAGAAAACCAAGGGATTGGATCCCGGTTCGCAGAACTGCTCCATGCCCAACTGCTCTGATTGGTGTAAACTAGGCTGAAATTATACAGATGTCACGAGGGACAGTCAAATGATAGACATCATACTTTTTGGGTGGCAGTAGCAAGGGAATCTGCTTGGGAAACACTCTCCATCTTCCATGAGCACCACCCCAAAAACCATGGGACAACAGGATCACAGGCCTCATCTCTGCAGGACTTTGGGAACAGGCAACTGGTGGTGTGTAAACATCACCCCAAAGCTCTGAGATTCAAGTCAAAGCAGGAATCAAACATTCAGCTGCTTCTCAGAGTCTCTTTGGTCTGGAAATGGGCTGGAAATGTCAGGAAACATGTGCTTCCCACGAGATGCCTGGTACTTCCTTCTTCCAGCCGGGCAGGAAGTAGCTTTGCTCATGGGGCTCTGCTCACGGGGCTCTGCTTGGTTTTGCTTCATCTCAACAGACCAGAAACCACAAAGCTCCTACACGTCATCAACTCTGGGACTTCTTGAACCCTCACAGGGATCTGGGATCCATTTGGGATGCAGGACATTCCTCCTGCTCTACCCCTGTCTCCTACAGTGACCCTGCTGTAGGACCATGCAGGGCTCTGCTGTAGGTTCCTGTCAAGAGCCAGCCTGGGAACAGAGGGACCATCCCAGCCCCTCTGGGAGTAGGGACTGGATTCACACCCAACTCGTGACCTTGTGCTAAAACACCCTCTCTTCCTTCCCTGCCCACACCCAGGACAAATTACAGCCCCTGGTGCCTGGCCTGGAGGCACCACCTCGCAGTGTCCATGCTGGGAACAGTTCTGGTGGGTGGGTGGAGAATTGGGAGTTTCCTAGGAAATGACCTGGGGATCAGATCCTAGGGATCTGATGTTTGCTTGGCGCTGAATCCCTGGATATGCTGAGCTCAGGTTAAAAAACAACCTCAAGTGAGCCAAATGAGGCTACACCAGCCAGCACCTTGCCCAGCCAAGTCCAGCTGGGCTCCCAGAAATTTCCGGATCTGGGGGCATCCATGGATTGAAACTATTCACAAAAATGCTCCTCCCTAGCTGGGCTTTATTAGTGCCTCTTTGTGTGGGAGACTCTCCCTCCAAGCCAGATTTCTCCAGCCCGTTTGCCCAGTCCTCCTGCCATCCAGTCAATGATTTGTAGCTGGGAAGCATGGAAGGATGCCTTTGGGATTCCCTGCATCCAACTGTTGCCATGTGGGATCCCTCTCCCTCACAGCCTGTGTGCTGCTGGACTCACATCTCCTCAACTCCTCACTGAGACCAGTCCCACCAGCCAGGGAGGACAACAAAAAAGGTTACACCAAATCATCAGGACACTTTGCAAAGTGGGATGTGGGAATGCTGGGGACATCCCTCCTGCTCCATGCCTCCTCCCTCTCCTTGTCCTCGCATAGAGGAGCAGGAAAGGCCAGGCTGGAGGAGCAGGCTGGGATGCAGTGAGACCAACCCCGAGTGGTACCACAGTGCAGTGTCACAGCGTCCCACTCCTGTCCCCAAAAGCCATCAGCGAGGCAGCGCCGCGCTGAGGACACCGCGCCCCACCAGGGTGTTCTGCCCCGAGCCCCGGTGGCTTTTCCCTGGGACAGGAGTGGGCCAGGCTGTGCCGGGAGGTGCTGCCCCTCCGCCTGCTCCCTCGGGATTCAGACCCAGGAGAAAAGGAACGAGGGCTGGGCTGACCGTCAGACCTCGGCACGGTGCGGGCAAGGGAGGCGCGGGCACTCAAGGCACTCGCGGCAGCGGCCGGGGGACACCCGGCAGTCCCATGGGGACACCCTTCGATTCCCAGGGACCCCTCCCCTCGGTCCCCCGCCCCCGTGCCGTTCCTGCCCTCCCGGCACCCGCGGGCCGGGAATGCTGGCCCTGCCCGAACCCTTCCGGCGCCGGTCCCGCAGCCCTGTGCGCGTTAGAGACTCTTCACCACGGGGATGCCCCGCGCGAGCAGCTCTTGGGGGATGTGCGGGGGTGCGTGTGTGCCACCCCCGATCCCGTGCCTCCCATTGGAGGAATAGCATGTGCCCCCCTTATGGGAAAAGATCTGGCGTTCTCCTTGGAGGTCGGCTCTGCCCTCTGTGTCACTCGTCCCGCGCCACGCTCTCCTCCAGGGCGGGTGGGGCCTCCAGGCCGAGCCCCCCGGCGCCGCCGTGCACGCTCGAGAAGGACACCATGGTGTGGAGGAGCATCAGGACCAGCACGCACAGTCTGATCCTGCTGCTGCCGAGGCGAGACCCCGCAGAGACCGGCAGCAAGGACGGGGAGCGAGGCTGGTGGTACTGGTGGTACTGGTGGTGGTGGTGGTGGTAGAGGTGGTAGTGGTTCTGCCTCTGGTGATGGAGGTGGGGGTCGTGGCGGTGGAAATGGAGCGACTCTGACGCCGTGGATTTGGGGGATGTGTCCTCGTTGCTGTCTGTGGGGTGCTCGCAGGAGTCCCATTGCACCTCGCAGCACTTGGCCTCCTCGTCGGGCAGCTGGTTCTCCAGCAGCCCTGCAGGAAGGAAGGAAGCAGGAGGAGGGGTCAGTGGGACACTGAGGATGAGGCTGCAGAGGAGGCGAGCCCTGGTGCCCACCAGCTATGGGATGGGCACACCTGACAACCAGGACATCCAAACACCCCCTGAGACTGGCCCCAGCACGTCTGTGAGCCTGCACACACCAGCAAGGCGAGTTCAGGGCTCCCCAAATCTTGCTCACAGCAGTTCAATATCCCCACCCTGCTTTAATCCATCACCTGCAGCTCCCTCCATGCTTTAGCTTTCAGTCAGAGGTATTACTTTCACCTCCTGGGCTGAGATGTTGCTGTGCCCCCATTAACCCATTACCCCGTGCCCTTGGGATGGCCACGTTTTGGTATCAGGCAATGTTTCCACACTGCCCCCCCTCCCATCCACCCGGGCAAGCCTTCCAAACCCGAGGAGTGGCTTGGAAATTCCCCAGGGCTCACCATCACCCCCTCCCCCGCCGTGCCCGGTGTGAGCCCGGCCCTCCTTACCCGTACAGATGAAGCCAGGCAAACCTCCATAGATCAGCTCATCATTGTCCGGTAACACGAAGGGGCACCTGGTCTGCACCTCCAGGCAGTATTGCTTGCATGGGATCCGCTGCCGGCACTGCTGCTGGGTCACGTTGAAGTACTCGGAGCACAGCCACGCCTTGTAGACAGCCTGGGGGAAATCATGGAGAGGGACACGTCACTTCCCCAAGCACCGGGGCAGCTGGAGCATCGCAGGGCGAAAGGGGACGGGAGAGCTCCCAGCTCTTGTGGGAAATGAGTGTTGGGGTCGTTTGTTGAACAGCGATGGATTCAAACAACCCACTGGAGTGCAACAATGGTGGAACTCTCTATCCAGCTAAATCCACCATAAAATAAAGCTAATTACGACATGGAATAATGTCCCCTACAGACAGGCATTGTGGCAGATTCTGCCAACATCATGGATCAAGAGCTCAGTCCTTCACACAAAAATTCAAACGCTGCTTATCACCTGTCCCAGAGTGTCCTCCTCAACCCCAAGACATCCCACTGCTCTCCTGGGAAAGGGAGGGATTCTCACCTCCTCTAAAATGCCTTGGCCCCCATCAGCTCTGGACATGGGGCAGCAAAACACATCATGGGCTGGTCTTTACTGGAAATTTTCTGCTGGAAAAGCTGCTGGACAGAAGCAGCTAGGATGCAGCACATGCAGCCACTGCACCTCAGGCTTGTCCCCCTCTGCCACCAAAGAACACTTTCCTCACCTTCCCCACCAGGTCCTGGGAGAGATTCCCGATTCCCTAACATCTGCAACTTCTGCTGTGCCATTTATTTTGGCTGAAGGAAGAAACTTGTTCATTTTCCGTGGATGTTCTGGCACTGGGATGTACCAGTAGTACAGGTGTCTCCATGTGCTTTTTACCTTCCTGATACTTCAAGGAAGTGAAGTGCCGCATTCCCTGCCTCTCCAGCCTGTCCAGTCCTCTTCCCTTCCAGCCAGGCTTAGCCCAGATGGCCTCAGTTACAACATATTCCCAAATTTCCCTTATCTCCCCAGAATCGGGCATGGGGGAAGTTGTTTGTCTCCACTGGCTGCAGCAGACAGGGAGGGAGAGCTCCCATTTCTTCTGATCACTCCTCAGGCTGCAAGAAACCTGTGGCACTTCCAGCTCATCCATGAACTCATGAGGGCACAAGTGACAGCACCATGGTAATTCCACGGCCACATCCAACTTCCTTTGAAAGCAGCTAGAAAGGGCTCCCTGTGATTCAAAGGGAATGAGTTTCCCTCCTCAGCATGCTTAGAGAAACCCCTGCTCCACTTTCTGGCTGCATTTCCATTTTCTCAAGGCTTTAAACCCATCACTTTGTTTCCCCATGTTTTTCATAGATCCTTATCATTGTTTCTTTGGCCCACAGTGGTGTCTCAGGATTAAAGCTGGTTGGGAAATTCTTGGCAAGTTATTTTAAATTTTTTTTTTCCCTGGAAAATGCCAAATCATCAAAGCCAGAATTTTCACAGAATTGTGTTAGCTTTGGTGAAACTTTCATCCCAAAAAGTTTAATGGGCACCAGAACACAATTTATGGAGTGAACATTCTGGAGCAGTCACCAAGTATTGTGGCCAGGGCCGGCCCCTGGGATGTGGGAATGAAGGTGCTTATTCTCCTTGTCCTGTTGGATGTTAATTACTGGGACACAGTGGAACAACACCACAGGAGGGAATGACTCTTCAGAGTGTGAGGACACAAGCAGGAGAGATTCAAGGTCTGGATCTGCATCCCTGAACATGTCATCCCTGGAAGTGTCCAGGGCCAGGCTGGCTGGGGTTTGGAGCACCCTGGGATAGTGGCAGGAGGTGGGATGGGATGGGTTTAAGTCCAACCCCAACCATTCTGTGACTGCATGATCTGCCTGAGCTGATTCCCTAGAGCCGAGGAGGAAGAGGCCATGCTCCAGAGGGGCCACAACCCCCACTGCAACACATGCTCTCCCTTGGGGACAGTGTGTGGAGCAGGCAGACAGGGGACAGCAAGGAGCACACAGCAGGAGCCCTCAGTGGGTGGCACACAGCTCTCTGCAGGCACCATGAGTTTCTCTCTGTTTGGAAAAGCAGGACCTGCCCCTGCTGCTATGGAACCTCGACAGGATGCACGGGAGGGTTAGAGAGCTCAGGGGACAGTGACACCTTACTGTGATGGGACAGAGCACCAGGAGGTGCACAATGGGCTCCAAAGCACCCACTGACTGCCCAGGATGTATCCAGACAGGCCATATCCTTATTCCAATCTGAGCACTCAGCTAGTCCCTGCTGTTGTTTCCACACCCTCCAGACACACTCATGTAATCTGGAGCAAAAACAGAGATAGGCCTTACTAATTACCTTAATTACTTGGGGTGCCTTTAGAGCAGCAAGGAGAGGGTGTCCTGAAAACACCCTGACCCTCGGAGAGTCCAGTAGCGAGCAGCTGGATGAGCTTCTCCTTCTCCTGGTGACCATCCAGGATTTTGGACAGCTGGTATGAATGACCTGCTTGAATTTGAACTGGCTGATGTCAGGTGGGTGAATTTCTCCCAAAGCCATGAAGTTTTCAGGATTAAAGTCTGGATGGATTAATTAAACTACAACCAGCCTGCAGTTTAAAGGGGAACTATGAACACAGAAGGAGTTGGATGGACATCACTGGTGTGCCCTGCCCCATCTGGGATGGACACCCTGCATCCATCCCTCCAGCTCAGCCTCTTTTCCAGCCCTCATCTGCCTTAGGATAAACATCTCCATCAGAGGGACTTCCTCGTGTTTCCCAAGGAGGTTGTTTTACAGCACTTATCTCGCTGCCTACAAGTTTTCCTTCATACTTGACCTACATTTTTCCATCCAAAAGTTCACTCCCTTCAATCATTCCCTCCACCATTCCCTCTCCCTGCTCCGTGTTTACACATCTCTAATATTTGCAGATGTCTCACGCTCCCCCTTTAGTCACAACTCAGACGAGCTCGGCTGATTTACTCACTCCCATTTCCTGCCAGTCTTCTTCCCAGCTCTGACTCTCCCACGCTGCTTCCCAGATCCCAGTCACATCCCAGCTCCCACCTGGGCTCACATGCAGCCTGGCATGGAGCACACACTGAGTGCTCCAGCAGAGGATTTTGGGTGTCACCTGAGCTGGCCCAGCTCCAGATTTGGGTGGAAAAAGCAGCCAGAATAGGAGATTTCCCAGAACTTGTAGGAAGCTGACTGGGTTCACCCTGCTCTCATGTGGAAACAGCTGGCACAAGCAGGCTCTGCATGGATCCACACATATCCCCCCCTAAAATGTTTGTGATGATTCCCACCAGGGAAGTCTGGCAGAGGGTTGGGGGTCACACACACAAACATTCCATTAATTTAATGAAAATATGGAAGAAGACACTGCAGGAAGCTGGTGATACTGGGGAGGGCAGAGCTGGAGCACTCATCCAGAACCTGAACCAAGATTCCCTGGCTGCCTGCCATTCTTCCTTCCCTTTCCAGAGCACCTGCCTTCCCTGAGGAAAGCACTGACCCCAGCCATGCTTGCCATTCCCTTGTGGCAGATCCTCCAGGTGCTGCAGCAGGAATTCCTGCAGCTCTGCAGGATGGAAACTGTGTGTACTCAAAAACAGAGACATGCAAGACCTGCTGGTCCAACAGGGCTCTCCCACTCCACTGAGATCAGGCTGAGACACAGGTGGAACTCCAGGAGATCCCAGTGTCCTCCCACCCCTCACCCACACAGATCCCTATCACAGACAAGGAGCAAAGTCCCTGGGATGCTCAAGGTTTTGGTATCTCCAAGCTTACCCCACACAACCTCCTTAGTTCTGCTGTTAAAAAGGACATGTGAGAATTTAGGACAGAAGAAATTTATTCCCTGCTTACATTAACTAGGAAAGCTCCCTGATTTTCCATCCTTGCCCTCTCTGGATTCTTCAGGAAGCGGGCTGGGTTGCAATCAGTGTTCCTGCCATTCTGGTTTGGCTTTTGGCAGATCTCCAGCCTGGCCACATAAATTAGTGACCTCAGCTCCAAAATAGCTCCAGTTTGGTGCCCTCTTCCTGCATTTTTAGCTCTGGAGGACTGGCTGCATGACTCTGAGAAAGCACACAGAATTTGGCTGCCTAGGAAAGGAGCCAACTTCAGACATCAAATTTATATGGAAGAGGACAGGCTTTGGAATTTTGCAGGTGGGATGAAAAACCTCATCATAAAAGACATTAAAAAATACCCAAAATGAATTGGATTTCTAATAGTGAATTAGGCTGTCTGCTCACACTTCCAGTGGGATCTGGAAGCAGCAGTCAGAGGGATGGTGCTTTCACAGGGAATTCTGTGCCAAATGGGAGTTCTTCCCTGCCTGCACTATTCCCTGTCTCCTGTCAGTACCAGGACAGCATTCCCCACAAAACAGCTTTTCCAAAGTCTTTTTGTGTCCTTAGGATTTCTGCACAAATTTGGCCACTTCAATGCCAGTCCATGGCTGCCAGTAGGTTGGAAACACTGGCACTGCCTGTGGAACCAAGGAACCAAGGAGCAGGAATGGAGCAGGAATGGAGCAGCAGTCTCAGGACACAGCACCACTGCAGAGGATGCAGTGTTTGGGATAATTTGGATGCCCACTGGGAATGCCAGCTGTAATTAACACAACAAACTGTTGTTTTCCCATTTGAACAGTAATCAATGCTCGGGAAGTTTCCCCAAGGAAAATCCTGCTAATGGCACAAACGTAACAAACTCTTCTCATTAATTACTGGCAGGGGTTGGGGCAGCATCCCCAGCCCAAAATTCACTTCTCTGGAAGGGGGAGATGCAGTCTGGAAGACAGATATGGAAACACGGAGATTTTCCCTACAAAATAACCTCCGAAGGAGACTTAGGAGTGTGCTTGGACCAGAGGTGAGGATCACTCTGGAAGTTGGGCCCTGCCATCATGACTCTCCTCCTTTCCCTCTTCTCACTGGGTGTACCCAGCTCCCAGCAGGGAGGGGAAGAAAAATCCCTGCCTGTCCTTGCCAGACCCCCAGCCTGGAGCAGCCCCCTCCCCTCCCAGAGCAGTTCCTGGGACTCACATTTCCATCCTGGTCTGAGAGGAGCATCTGGAGTGGCTGTGCCTCATTAATCTTGGACACAGGGAAATGAGCACTGCTAATGAGCTGCTCGGGCAGCTCTCC